ACCCTACAGTATAATGTTGAAAGAGGACATTAGTGTTGGGACTCAGGTCTTTGACATCAATGCCACAGACGCTGATCTCTCTGATAACATCAAGATCTTCAGCATCATTTCTGGCAACACAAGTGTCAAGTTTACAATAGATTCCTCCACTGGGATCATTAGGGTATTATTTGCTTTAATGTTCCTTTAATATTTATACTCCTTAAAAAGAATAGTCATGGATAATGTTCTCAGTAAGCTGTGTGTATGTGCACATGCATCTGACATTAAAAACCAGTACACACAAGTTGAAGTACCTACCTAACATAAGACATAATTTAATCATTTAATCTGAACCTTTGAAATAAAAAAATTTAAAAAAAAGAAAGAAATCCCCTAAAAACTTTATAATGCTAAAAAAAATTAATGAATTCTTAGAAACAGCAATTTCGATTCAGTATGTATATAGTAAATCTTTGCAAAATTACCTGTATTCACTGTAGATATTGCTTTATATCATCATGTTGAAAAATTGTCATGGTTCCTAAAATGTATAAGTGCACAGATTGTATTGTTCACACAGACTCAGAAAAACTAAAACGAACTTTAGCTTAGGAATAAGAGATAAAACAAATTGTATGCATTACATTTTTTTTTTAAATGATCAATTCAAAGTATATTTAATTGGTACTGTATTGTTATAATTCATCTTCAGATTCTTTCCTCCCTGGACTATGAGCAACAGCAGAGTTATGCCCTAACATTGCTTGTCCAAGACTCAACTGCTCTTAACAGCACAACCATCATCAGCATAACAGTACTGGATGTGAATGACAACAGCCCGGTGTGTAAGGACACATCAGTAGTGGTTAGTGTTGATGAGAACAAGAGCACTGGAGTTCTCTTCACACCAAGCTGTTCTGATGCTGTAAGTCAATTAAAAGAAAATGGGGTCACTTTCCTATTATGGAGCCTGTATAAATAAGCCAATCAAATTTCAAATAAATCAATTTTTAAGACATTGGAATATAAATTTAGTAATGAAAAGTTTTTTTAAACTATTGTCACAATTTGGGTTAAGAGCTTTTTCTTTTCTAAAATTAGGCATTAACTTAAAATTTAAGTTTGTGAAATTAATTATGTCCAAGATGTTTGTATTATTAGTTGTTTTTTCCTACTTTTACATTTTTTAAATTGTCTTTCTGCTTTCTTTTTTTATTAAGTATTCTTGCAAATGTTCACTGAAGTTTTGTATTTATTTTTTATACAGGATAAAGTGGCTAGTCCAAATATATTGTATGAATTTCAATCTGGCAATAATTCTGCACTTGCCTTAAACAGTGCTTCAGGTTTGTTTAATTAATTAGAAAATATTTTATTACTTTTATATACCAGTGCCAGGGTATTGTGAAAACTGAGATAACACAGGTCAATAATTTTTATTATATATTTTTAAAAAAAAATAATCACAATATTGTGCTCCTAAATTGCCATCATTGCCATATTTTTTTATTATTTTATGTTGGTTTGGCTTAATGTGAAAATTAAGTTATTAAATCAAATTAAGTTTTAGAACATGTTATGTTTCAATCAGTGTTTAAAGGTCTTTCCATTTGTGTAACTAGCCACTGAGTTGAAGATTGCAATGTAATATCAATAACTAAACTTGTGTAATCCTTTATCCATTTTTATAGTGTAAGCATTAGAGAATTTTAAGTCTAAACACATGAACTATTTACATTTATTTCTTTATTATCCTTTGAATTTTTTTGGCAATAGAATAAATTTGGAATAGTTTTTATTTGATGTGGTGCTGTTTCAAGGGGAAAGAGGGAGGAAGATGTGGCTCTTACAAAATTGAGACAAACTAAATACTTATGTGATCTGAACTAACTTTGTCCCACTTTCAATTTCGGTCATAATATATTTTAGACTTGTTATTTACCCAGTAAAATCAGACTACTTTATTTTAGAATTTGGTCTGCATATAATTTTTCATAGTATTCTTCATTTGCTTCTAACTCAGGTGTGCTGTCTCTGCAAGGTGCTTTTGACTACGAGAATACAACTTTTCTAGATGTGATGATTAAAGTGTCAGACAGTGGCATGCCCACATTGTCAACTTCAATCAATGTCAGAATCAACATCAACCCCAAGAATGAGTTTAGTCCACAGTTTGTACCATCAGCTGTCTACGGACCTGTATCAATTCCAGAAAATGCAACCCTGGGTAAAAATGTATTTGAAGTCATTATTAAATACATTGAAAAAAACTCACATTAAAACTAATCAAGAAATAGTTTTAATTAAAAAAAATTAAAACTATGTTATTTTTGAATTACAGTAAAGGTATTTCATAACAGTTTTCTTTTTGTATTTAAATATCTTCTTAATTTTTTTACTCCCAGGCACACAAGTAGTGCAGGTCAGTGCCAGTGATGGTGACAGAGGTCTGATGCAGGGCACTGTGCGCTATCAGATAGTCAGTGGGGACACTCAGCAGTACTTTAACATTGATGAAGTATCTGGTGTGATCACCATCACCAGGGAGTTGGATAGAGAGATCAAAGACAACTACATGCTAATTGTGAGAGCAAGCGATGAAATGCCAGGGTCACCAACTCAGAAAACTGGTCAGTTGCAGCATGGTTGTTGGTTTTTTTAGTTTAAATTAGGAAATGTATTCCCATAATTAACTGATCTAAGACAGAAGTTTGTCTAGCTGCCATTATTGAGTGTAAGATATAAAGGATAGATTGTAAAACTTATATTTAACTTATCATGGATATGAACTCTATTTTATCAAAACTTCAATTGCCAAATTCCTTTTTACAAAATTTTGATTCCTTCCTTCCACTATGAAATCCAAACACTATTTTATGGCTTTCCATAATTCTATCAAGCAGCTACTGCCAGTGTCAACGTCACGGTCACTGATGTGAATGATATGACACCAACATTTTACCCTGCACTGCACTTCTTCAATGTGTCTGAAAATGCCTTAGCGGGCCCGAATGTTTCATTACTTCAGCTGACTGTCCGAGATGATGATGTTGGCATTAACAAGCAGACATCAATAGTGATAACATCTGGCAATAATGAAAACAAGTTCACTATAAATGGTAAGTATTAAGAATGGACATCTGGACATTTCTTTTCTTTTTTTTTGACCTTTTAAATTTAGATCATCCAAAAGAAAGGTTTCAGATTTCTTCAATCAATATTTTCTTTCAGTATGATTATGCTTATGTATGTATCACTGTACAATTTGGTTGTAAATAATACTAGAGGTCAAGTGGTTCAAATAGTGACTGATATTTTATTATCCACATTCACAATAATAAATACATTTTACAAAAATCCTAAAACACTTGGAAATTATATCACGTGAATTTCATTTACTAACTTCTGGATAATATACCGAAATTTTCTTTTATATTATGTTGATACATATATCGAGTAATCTTCATCACTACATCAATGGTCGTTGATCAATCTTCTCCAGTTTCCATTCTTCAACTCCCCTTTTCTGATTGGCCAGTTTCTCACAAGTCCCAATACTCTGTATATATATATAAGAAATATTTACCATATTACTCATCTCCCATGATTACTCATATTCATATCTGTGACAGTATGCTTGAGATTTCCAATTTAATTCGAGTAACCAAGTAATTCAAGATTTAAGAAACAAGTTAAAGAATAATTTTTATTAGTCCCCAAAAACCCAATATCTTGTCCATAAGCAAGGCTTAAAGAAAATCCTATAAAGTTTTTTACTTATTATTTGAGGATTAAAATTAATCAGACAAAATAGAAGGAAAACACAATCTCCAAAATGTGTGACCCCCAGGTATGTAATTATGGAGAAAACTTTCTGTACATCTTTACTTCTAAAGAGTTATTAAAGGATATTATTGAATTTTTGTAAAAATTTGTGACACTTTTTTTTTTCTTGTCCACACTTTCAACTCATAATTTGGAATTCTTTTCTTCCATCACATTGATAATTTGGTTTTTTTTTTGTATTGTCTCTCTGAAGGAACATCTCTGATCTTGAGTCAAACCTTAGACTATAAAACAACCAATCGTTATGACCTGATTCTGACTGTTACCGATGGCGGGTCACCAAAGTTGAGTTCAAATGGTCGTGTTGTTATTGATGTGTTGCCCTTTAATCAGCACACCCTCATCATCAATATAACATCAACAATGAAAACAATTGCAGAGGATGTGCCAGTTGGGACACTTGTGTTTAATGCTAGTGCTACAGGTTTGTTTTTTTGTTTTTTTTGCAAAGACTAATCAAAAAACTATTTTAGTATAATCATTACATCAAGTAATTTTGTTATGTGAATTAATTTTTTTTTTTTAAATTAGAGATTATTAGTTACTGCAAACTCAACATTTTTATATTTTTTTATCTATTTGATAATTTTCAGAATTGAGAATTAGATTTGCGACTTATTTTAAATAGTAATTTTAACTGAAACACAAACTAAATATTAATTATAACTACAGGGTGGGCCAATAAAAGAGAACATCTCGTAAAATATTACGCTACGAGATGTTCTCACTTTTATTGGCCCACCCTGTAAGATATACACATTTAGTTTTGTAAGCTATAATAAAAAGACCTGTACAAGTGTGCAGTGATGGATGATAAGGTTTTGTGACATAAACACTATGGTGGAAATAACATTAAATGGGCTTCATTTAAATGCTATCCTCTTTTTTAAGATCTGGATAATGGCATGCTGGGACAGGTCACCTATGACATAGTCAGCGGTGCCCCTGGCAACAGTTTTGTCATCAACCCATTTACTGGGCAACTCTATGTGGGCTCTGCACTGGACTTTGACGCCGGTCCTAAGAACTACTCTGTCAAAGTTAGGGCCACTAGTGGCTCTGGTGCTTCCAGTAAGACTGCTACTGCCTTGCTCAGCATCATCCTCAGCGATGTCAATGACAACATGCCCATGTTCTCACAGACAAACTATGCGTTCAATGTTAATGAAAATATGGCTCCTGGGTCATCAGTTGGGAAAGTCACTGTCACAGATCAAGGTAAAAAATACATTTTATGAAAATTTTTTTGAAACACTTTTAGCGCTGCAATCATATATTTACAATTTTAAATTTAGCAGTTGCAAGTGATTTCAAAATATAGATATAAAGGCAAATTATAACAGATTTAAAAAAAACATAATTTTAGTTAAAATTTTTTAAGTTATTACTAACTTTAGAAAATATCAGTAGGACTGTGACTAAAGTTAACTTCAGATTAAAAGACACAGAAGGGGCCATCCATAAATGATGTCATGCAAACTTTGCAGATTTTTTATCCCCCTCCCACAGTCATCACAAATCGTCACACAAAAATAAACCCCCCTCAAATATAAAGTCACACAATGCTGCACATCCCCCACAAAAAAATAATACCGTTAAGATTGATATTTCAGTTCATCTAATGTTTAAAAATCTCTTTCATTGTCATTTTAGTATGTATTTAAGTTGGTCAAATTTTAATTTTGTTAATATATATTTGCTGGTCCGATTGTCTTCTTATTCTCACAAATAAAAAAAAATCATTTTTTAAAAATAATTTTAAATAAATGAGGGGTGGTTTTCAGATATGAGACCAAGGTTTAATTATGCTTTCGGTTCTTATCTAAAATCATTAGGCCTGTGTAGTTATTTAGAGAATTCACTCTGCCCACTACTGTTGTTTACAAACCCTAAAACATAATATCCTATTTATATCCAATAACCAGCCATTGCATCTGTGTCAGAAACATTTCCATAGAACAGTAGTTCTTTAACAGGTTGCCCTGGGAATTGAATTTTGTTTGTGCATTATGTTTAAATAGTTCATTTTTTTCTCTTTTTTCTAGCAAGTTATATGAAGAAGGAAAACTACAATATCTTAATATTAACTATTTTTATATTTTAAAATTTTATTACAATACACATTTTCAGAAGGGTGTGTGGGAAATATTTTAAAATTGAGAGATGCAGTGCTGCAAAAAGGTTAAGAGCCTATAACTTCAACTTCAATCGTTTCCCTCATCACAAATCGTCATAAATGTTTGACACACACTCACACACACACACTCAACATCTGATGTCATTTATGGATGGCCCCCTAAGACAAAACTTGGCATGGCAATTTAAAAAAATTGCATTGTCATCAGTTGCAAAACCTACAAATTAAAAAAAATTAAAATATTAATCAAAAGCCACCAAAAACAGCATTATAATAGTCAGTTAAGACAAATTCAATTTAATCTCCACCTAACGTCAGCATTTAAAAGGCATGTAGAAGTCATGAAGTATAGAACTACACCAATGGCAGTTATAGTGTGCATATTCCCTGGTAGTTATTGTTGATTAAAAACAGATATAAAAGTTAAAGTATGATGAACATTACATTGTTTTAAATTTGGTTTAAAAAATTATAATTGTCTTTGTCACTAGACTCTGGCGCCAATAGAGAGATAACTCTGAGCTTATTTGGAGGAAGTGGGCAACCCTATTTTACAATCAATAATGTTACTGGAGCAATTCAAACATTAGTTAGCATTGATTATGAATCAATTCAGGTGAGTTTGGGTATATGAAAAATTCAGTTTTCAAAATATGATAATAAGATAAAATTCTTTTATGATCCAAATTAATGGCAGTGTGTTTTGATTACCTTGTACATATTAATTTTTAGCATACAAATAAAAAACTGGGTAAGATAACAATTTTTAAACTACACCAATTTATATAAAACATTGAAAGTATTTCTCATATGCAATGATCGGCCGTCATGTATCATAAAACCTCAATTCCATAATGACAATATTGACTTTAAGAGTAATTATTTAATTTTATAATAGCTGAGGAAGCCTGATTTAAATAACTGATAATGTTACAATTATTTCAATATTAATCATTACTCAAAAAGAATGATTTAAGGGAAGATAAATCCTTTTTGTAATTATTCGAGGGAAATGTTTTCCATGGTCAACATTTCAGAACTGTTATTCAAAAACTGGTACCACTGCCCTTAGGGAACCACTGTACTTTAAATATGTTAAAGATCCATTTTTTAAATTGTAATAGTACTGAAATGTACGCAAAGTTACATAAGTCTTAATAATAAAATTTTAATTTCCAAAAATTGCTAAGAAAACATTTGCACTTACACTTAGAGAAAGTAAACTTTTGAACATACTTTAAATAATATTTAAAGAATCTCATTTTTTAATTTTTTTTCCACCTAGGTTTTGTACCTGTCTGTAAAAGCCATGGATGGAGGGACACCATCTCTCTCCTCAAACTGCCTGGTCAGAGTTGACATCAATAACTTGAATGACAACCCGCCTGTCATCACACCCCCTGACTTGACTGTGTCTGTAGCTGAGAATGCCAGTGTTGGCTATGTGGTTTACATGTACACAGCTACAGACCTAGACAACAGTGTTGACTTGTACACCCTTGTAGGGCTGAATAACAATTTTGAGGTTAGTCTGCAAGATTAACACAACTTACATTCATCAAAAACAACAAAATTCAACATTTGTACTAAGTCAGTTTTTGACTTATATTTTTAGCAATGTTGGGAAGATACAGCTGACAGTTTTATATATATTCTAGTTTTATAAACTAAAGAAATTCAGGTCTTGAGGACTATAGCCTTTTATTGGTTCTTAGAGTGCTGTATAAAAAAAGGAGTGGTAAGAAGTGAATCCTAAGAAAAATTTACACGAAATAGGATCTGAAGAAAACTATCTTGAGAAAAAAAGTTCAATATCTGAAAAGATACTCATAGTAGTACATGTTAACAATGTCATGAATTACATATGAATTACACAGCTAACAATAAACAGGTTAAATGACTCTGAAATTACAGGTTATGACAAAATATACTTAATTAACACTAAAGATGCATGAAGACTATGATTAAAATTATAATTTTGTAATAATGTTTAATTATAAAAAAAACTTGTAGCAGGCTTTGACTTGTAGCACGTACACCATCTACATTTAGAATCAGTGTGAGATGTAAGGCTAACATACAGGTCTATAAATCATTACTGTACTGCCATCCATGTACGATACTATATAAGCTGCACCCAGGACATTTACTACAATGGTATTAAATTATAACAACCGTTATTTTGATACTTGTATCTTTTAAGGCAGAAGTGAATTGCCGAATGTCTAATTATTTAATACAGCCTTAATAACACATGTACCATTTCCTATATGAAAATTTAGCACATGGCAGGATAGTAACTATATTTGTTTTACGTATATTTGCTGGGTGGATAATGTTGTATCAATCGCTTGTAAACAAATTGCAGTATTTGTAACTAGAATTGATATAACAGTTAGTATTATGCTCACATACACGCTGGTATCTAATTCCATTTAATAATTCAGTGGACGGTTGTATGTTCAACCATCACAATATCATGGTTGCAAATCAAATTGATGGAGCTAACAAGTGATTAAAACACTGCCTAATGTATGTAATGAACAGAAGTCTTCCATTAAAAACACGTAACAGTTGCATTCTAGAAACACAAAAATATAAAGGTGTATTTGCTTATACTTACAAAGCGGCCGGTGAACAATGGTGCACTATAAATAGGGTCACTCAAACATACCAGAGAGCAATTACATAACACATTGACCACTCTTTCTTGACTTTTTGGCAGATTTGCAGTAAATAGACAATATCTAGAATTTTCAACCCAAATAAAAATCCTGGACCAAAACCCTGAAGAATTGTATGTGTCTGTTCATATTTAGTCTCGGCTATCTAAGATACACTTTTATATTTATATATCTTTTATGGTTTTTTAAAAATTTTAAATAAAAGGGGTAGGAGCCCCCCCCCCCCCCCCGTGTGGAAACTCTATTAATTACTTAATATTACAATATCCTCTAAAGATGTAGACTTGCAAATGAACTAAGGTATACAGAATTGTCCGACAAGATTTAATTTATAGCCTTAATACCCTAGTTCTCGAAAAATAAATTATTGAACCTATACAAAAAAGCTTAAATAGGATTCCCTAATATCTAAGCCTGGCATAATGGTGGAGAGAGAAACTGTGTATGCATTGGTGTTGGAGCCTAATCCTAGGTCAAAGTCCCTGACTGTGTTGGGTGGTAAATTCTGTTTCATAAAAGCGTGGCATACAATGCCACATATCAATAAAACTTGACACAGTTTTCAATGGATGAAATGGAGTGGCATCAGCCTGCTTGGAGGTGGAAATTATTCAAGTGCAACACACATGTGATGTTAAGTACCCAGAGGAAGGAAAAGCTTAGTAAGTAAAGCTGTCCAAAAATTACGTACTTACTCTTACTACTACATACTGGCACTAGCCCTTAACCTGGTGCAGTAATTTTTACACTGAGCCCGGGTATTTTGAAAAATTCATGGTGGGTCAAAGTGTTACAAAAATAGAGTTTACTCCTGATTTTCTATAATAAGCAATGAAATCTATTGCCCTGTCTTAGTGAGAGTGCATTGCCTCCAAGAAGTAACCCACTGATAGGAACAGGCAGTTGCCGGATCCTGGATTAGAGATGACGTTGTCAAAAAAAAAAACTGATGACAGAGAAGATACTGTCATTCATTTTATAACAAAGACTAATGAAACAACAGTAGCAGTATAACAAAGATAGCAACCTATTTACCGGAGTCAGATTTTATGCCTAAAGCTCACTGTGAGACAGAGGAGCACTAACAATAACATCACAGAGTAATAATAATTGCCTCTTTTTCTTCTATTTTTTGAGAGCCTACGATCAATGTTTTGGTCTCTCTGGACACAGAGTTCAGACACATCACACATGAGACTCGCTGCATAAAGCCTTTTTCTTTCTCACTCAGTACTATTTGTATAAAATATGTGGAATGGGCGGGGGGCGGGGGCAGGCGCAGTTTTGAAGAAGCAGGATGCACCAAAAGAGCAAAATATATAAGATTATTGAAAATATTTTAATTTACTCTAACTGGCCAGGTTTTTAACCTGATACTTTCCAGGAAGTGGTGTGTCTCACATACATAAGGCCAAGCTGGAAATAATTGAACTTGTTTCAATATTTTGTTATTGTGAGATAAAATATATTTACTTGCTTCATTCACAGCTAAATAGCACAACAGGAGCCATTACCGTCAAGTCTGAACTAGATCGAGAGTTGATTAACAGGTAAGTGAAGTAGATAATATTCTTTTACCTAAAAAATGATCTCTAAACTACTCATTATTCCTCTGTTATAACTCAAATTTATCGGTTACCGAAAATTTGATAGAAAGAAATTTCATATGTATATGGAAAATTGATCAAACGGAAATTCGGTAGAAACTTTTTTTCAGTTCACACGTTAAAATTGTCAAATTTCTTTTTGAACGCACTATACTATATAGTAAAACATAATGCGTTCAAAAAGAAATTTGAAGCAAAATTTTCATGTGTGAACTGAAAAAAGTTGTGACCAACCTTCCGTTTGATCAAATTTCTGCCGATCAATTTTCTGTCTACAAATCTTCTTTCAATCAAATTTCGGGATATGAAATTTATCCCCACTGAATAACAGAGAAACATCTATTAAAATGATTTGGTCAAAGAATTTCTAATTTTTCTTTTTAAACTTCTAGAACCATTTTGGAAGTGCGTGTGATTGATCGACCAACATCTGCTGATGCCACAAGTCAATCTGCTACTGCCACATTGACAATTATGATAGGAGACATCAACGACAATCCTCCCACTATCACTGGAACATATTCTAAATCCATTCCTGAGACAATGGTCGTGAATGAGCTTGTGTTCCAAATAACAGCCTCCGATCGCGACCTGGGCCTCAACAGCCAACTGATTTATTCTATAACAGCCGGAAACAACAATGAGGCCTTTAGGATAGATTACTCAGGAAATTTGCTGGTAGGCTTTTAAAATATAATATTTTAAATAGAATTAAATATTTAAATACAGGTTAAAGCTTGGCCAGAAATAAATTATATAATTTGTAAAAAGTATTTATTCCTTTATTTCTTATTAGAAATTAAGATGTTATTGGTTATTTAGGATTATTTCTTTTAATATCTTCACTAAATATAAATCTATTAACTTTTTGCACAAAACTTTTCACTACTTTTTTTATTGGTCAGAAAGCCTTACACTTACAAAATGCTATTTGAACACTAAATGTGTCTTCCCCAGGTTGCTGGGCCTCTGAACCCTGATGTCATTAACCGCTACACTCTGACCATCACAGTCAAAGACCGAGGTGCACCCCAACTTTCCTCTACGACAATCGCCGACATCTCCGTCTACAATGTCAACAACCCACCAGTTTTTAGTCCCCCACAGTATACCTTCAGCCTGGTTGAAAACAGCCCTGTAGGCAAGACCGTTGGGACGGTCACAGCCTTTGACGATGACCAGGATCAGAACATCCATTTAACCTACAGCTTTTTAAGCTTTTCTCAGGGACCCTTGTCTCATTTTATTATCAATACTACAACAGGGGTTATAACAGTTGCTACATCCAGCATTGATAGAGAGATTGTAGCACAGTACAAAGGAAGAGTGCAGGTAAAAAAAAAAAATTTACTTGTCAATGATACGTCTATGTAAACATTCTATCGATAAATAAAATTAGTTTGAGGCTCCTCCTAACTGTGTGTCTGCTTATATCTCGTGGGTTTAGGGATGTTGGCAGACACCCATTAAAGGTAAAGCACATAAACCGCCATTGTTTAAAGATTCTATATTAATGATAATGTTGTTGGTTTAAAAATAAGTAAACTATGATGAATCTTGACTCCATGACATCATTGTGTTGCTCCAATTCTTTAGATAAATGCAGGGCCAACTTTTAAAATACTCACTTCATGTGAATACAAATCTTTTTACATATATTATTCATGGTTGAACTATTCATTTAAACTCAACCAGGTAATGGATGATGGTGCCCCAGCATTGACAGCCACAGCTGACTTCCTCATCAATGTTGATGACTTGGATGACAATGACCCTATCCTGACCCCCACAGCCTACAGCACTGTGGTTAAGGAAAACCTTCCTGTGGGCACCAGCATTCTACAGTTGACCACCTCAGATGCCGACACCCCTCTTTACGCTGCTGTGAAGTTCAGCATTGATGTCAATTCAGCAAATGGGAGTACTGCTAGTAATCTCTTAGAGGTAATTTTGTTTTGAGGTAATTTTGTTTATCAACTAAATGAAACAATCAAAATCAAATTGTCCAATTCAGATTAGAAAAGCAATATTCAACCAAAAGATCCTTTTGAGTGCTCTCTTTGACATCTTGTAAAAGAGATTTAATTGGGGTTTTGTTTTTTGTTTTTTTGCAGGTAAGTTGGATGAAGGAATTACGTCCATCAAATCATTATTAATCATAAGTTTAAACATTTATTCTCAGAGACAAGAAACCCCCTTTATAATCTAAAATAAAATAAAGTTTAATTAGTTAATTTTGAAAGGATAAAATTCAGTTTACTTTCCTCATTTTGAATAAATCCCATAAGTGAAAATAATGGTTGGTGCTCAGCAGGCGGAGTAGCCATCTGAAATTTTTAAAACTTTATTTAATCTTTACTTCAGTTATGCTGTATGATGAATGTTTTGAAATGATCTAAGTCATTAAATCGCATCACACATTGAATATAAGTTCTTTACTGAATGGGTAAAATTTAAGATATGTTATTGCTTTCAGCTATAAAATCACACAAAACAAGGAAACTTAGAACAAATGTAAAAAAAAAATACTTGTCAAATTATGACTGAACGATTGAGAAAGAATCCCATTAATTTAAAGCTGTTTAAAGTGACACATTTTGTATTAAATGCTTATTTCTATTAAATAATATAAGAGTTAACTTACAATAAGGTTTATATTTCTGTTATTATTCTCAATTTAGGTGGATGCATCTGGGGTCTTACGAATTAAAGCTACCTTTGATTATGAAACCATCAAGGCACTCAAGTTTATCGTCTTTGCTTCCAAACCTAACTCTGGCGTGTCAAGTACTGGCACAGTGTCCCTTACTGTAACGGATGAGAATGACAATATCCCAACATTCAAGTAAGTTGACATTTTTTTATGGTCCAAGCTTGTGAATCACATGTGTAATTTAAAAGCTCAAACTTGACCAATTTTTTTCTTCACAGTTTTGTGTTTGGTATGTGATAAGTGTAAATAAATTTTACAAAATATATGAATAATTTAGATGGAAATAAAAAGTAATTAATTTCTAGTAATGATAAGGAACTACAATAAATAAATGAAATTATCTTCTTAAAAAATGTTACCAAGGTTATAATGAGAGTTATTCATTTGAAGAACATTAACATTTACTTAATGTTGTAGAATACCTGCTCTCCATGGTTTTGAAAAAAAAAATGTTGACAGAACTCCAACATCTTATACTCCCTTTGATTAGGTCCAGTTTTATCAATGCTGAGGTGGCTTACAATAAAGTGTGTAGTAGCCTTGTGACCCAGGTGTCAGCCACTGATGCAGACACTGGGAGCAATGCTCAGGTCACTTACTCCATGGATTCATCCTACGCCAACCTCTTTTCTATCAATACAGTTACAGGTGAGTTATCTCTAAGATTACAAAATTTGAGTTAGTTTATTAGAATCTTGTTAAAAAAGAAAATGGAAAATAAATAAAACAACTTTTTAAATTATTAAATATATGAGTAGACATATTGTGTTAACTAGTGTTTGACCTGCAAGATTATGACAAAAGGCTTATGTAACTTTTAAAATGAACTTCTTTTAAATGGAAAGTGAAGCTCTTGATATACAATTTGATTTCTTTGATACTGCTGCTGTTGTATCATTAATTTGAAACCATACATTTTTCAAAACCAGTGCATTCATTATATGAGCAGATGTTGTCTTATTTGTCATCCTATCCCAGGAGAAATAATGCTTGAGAAACCTGCCGAGGCCAATAAGAAATACACAGTTGTTGTTAAGGCAAGTGACAGAGGAGATCCCCCACTCACATCAACAGCCACTGTCAGGATTGATGCTTTTGATCCTTACTCTGTAGTTATTGAATTGAGCCTCTCCATCAGCATGTAAGAATTACATACTTAGTTTTAAAGAAACTTCAGTTTTCGTTAAACTTATCCCTAAAGTATCTTGCATTTAGTACCAAAATAAATCCAACAAAATTTAATTTCTATTTATAGTTAAATCGCATAAATTTTAAATTGGTTAGCAGTGGTGTAGTTCTTTGGAGGAGAATCTAATTATTCCGCATCTAAAATTATTTCACTGTTCAGAAAAAATGAATGTTTATTTAATAGACAGCCCTCTATTTATTATTCTCATACCTGTTCAAAGTTGTGTAAGTCTGGCACATATTGCACTGCTCAAAGTTGTAAGTTTGGCACATATTGCACTGCTCAAAGTGGTAAGTCTGGCACATATTGCACTGCTCAAAGTTGTAAGTCTGGCACATATTGCACTGCTCAAAGTTGTAAGTCTGGCACATATTGCACTGCTCAAAGTTGTAAGTCTGGCACATATTACATATTACACTGCTCAAAGTTGTAAGTCTGGCACATATTACATGTTACACTGCTCAAAGTTGTAAGTCTGGCACATATTACATGTTACACTGCTCAAAGTTGTAAGTCTGGCACATATTACATGTTACACTGCTCAAAGTTGTAAGTCTGGCACATATTACACTGCTCAAAGTTGTAAGTTTGGCACATATTACATGTTACACTGCTCAAAGTTGTAAGTCTGGCACATATTACACTGGTCAAAGTTGTAAGTTTGGCAAATATTACACTGCTCAAAGTTGTAAGTTTGGCAAATATTACTCTCAAAGTTGTAAGGCAAGCACATATTTCGCTGCTGAAAGTTGTAATCTTCAAAAGGTTGCCATCTCATGACAAAATTTGGTGCATCTGGAATCCCCTTGTCCAACACTGTTAGAGACCTTGGCTTCCACACTGACAGTAAACCCACAATGATCCCTCATCAGTTCTGTGGTCAGACCTTGTTTCTGTCATCTTTGAGCTCTGGGTCAGCTGCGTCCTCAACTTAATAAGAGAAAAGCCAATGCCACAGCAGTCTCTCTAATTACTGTAACCAGTTGCTTGTGGGGTTTACATCAAAACCAACTTCAGAAGCTCCAGAAGGTATAAAATACAGGAGCACGCCTTATAACACTGATAAAGATATTTGACCACATGACCCCAGTTCTTAAAGATCTCCACTGGCTTCCTATGAGTGAGCACATAAACCACAAAGTTCTGTTCCTGGCATAAAGCTATATGGAAGGCTTTGCAGCTAAGTATCTTAAAGAACTTATTTCCAAGCATATATCCTTAAAGAGGTTGCACTTTTCATCATAATCCCTACTCAGAGTTCCAAGTATGGACGGACACAAAAAGAAGTCTTTTGGTGGTGCGCTCTGTTGAAACAAAGGCACCTAAATTATGAATTATTTTGCCCAAGTCTTTGAGGGAAATTAAAAATGATAAAAATTTATTTAAGAAACATTTAAAGACATTTTCTTTAAATAGAGTTTATGACATCATAGAGCTTTGAGCATGCTAGAATAGCATATAAGTCTAGCAATAATTTTGCTGTTGGAAGTTGTAGGTATATCACATATTACACTGCTCAAAGTTGTATAGCACAAATTACACTTTATGTTTTAAAAATCTATAAATTAAATTATTTTCCAGGTCCGATTTCCGTATGAAGCTTCAGACTTTCATAACAAACCTACAGAATGAGATACAAAAAACCTACTCATCAGCTGTTGTCAAACTCTGGTGTATAGAAGAACTAGAGGGAACTGCACAAAATCCAGGCACACGTCGGAAAAGACAATCAATGTAAAATTTGGACATATATTTTATATTTCTAAAATTTAAATGTAATTCCATTGTTGTTTAACAATAAACTAGGCTATAATTGTGCTCTGGTATGTTTTAAATGCATACCGTACAGCTTCAGATTACTCAACTCTGAAACTACTCTTAGATACTAGTCTCGTTGCAGTGGCAATAGCTTTTTGTTTTAAATCATTTAGCTGGTTGTTACAAGATAGAATCTTTGCAATGAATTTCTAACTAATTAATTGACAATTTTTTTTTTTTAAATTCTCAGCAAACCTGTGAAGGTTTCGGTCTATGTCTTACGTGACAGCAGCACCGACTCCTTATCTAACATTACCAGGCAAAAGGATTTCATTAGCCAGCCAAATTTATTGTCAGTGTTAGCCCAAAGTGATGGGGCTCCCAACAATATCATTAAAGGTGAGGTGAACACACAGAGGATAAACTAAGATATAATTATTAGCTTATAATTGTGGGATTCTTTCTCCTCATCACTTGGTTGTTAAGTCTCCTAAACTCTGAAATAAAAATACTTTTTTTAATAGTTAATACCAACTACCCAGGCCTTCAAAACTGCACTAAAAACATATCTTTTTAAATTATACTACCCTGACTGATTCCCCTCCTCTGACCGATAAATGATCTTGCTGGCTGCCGTTCATGGTTTGTCTTGTAAAAGTTATGTGGTGGGGTGGGTGACTATACATTGCTGTTCTTTTTTTTCATAAATGTATTTTATTTTAATGTCATAATTATGTCTCTTTTGATAAAATTTTTATGTACAGCGTGGTGAGCCCAGCCCTAGGCTGGGGGTATGGCGCTATATAAGACGTCTTATTATTATTATTAATATGCACAATTATTGGGGCTGAACTTGTATTAATATTCGTTTATTATGATTTTGTGCCTCTTCTGTGTAATACAAGTATTTGATTAACTAATAATTTTAATTAGTGAGAAGTTATTTTATATATCTCAAAATGGAGGCTGCATTTTTATGCAACTTTAAAGAAGCTAAATAATGTTGTCTTTTTTAAATTTATAATAGTGCTTACAGGTGCTCATTCACTTTTAGAAATTTTATTTGTTCATGTTCATTTAAGATGGATTCTCTAAGCTTCAGCTTTTTCCGCTAATTTGAATCTTTAAACGTTTTAATTTGTTGAAAATTGACTCATCAGCAGTAAATTTTAAAAATCAGCTAAAAAATGAGAGACTTAGAGAAATCACCCAACTCAAAAAATCAACAAAAATGTTATTTTTTCAACAGCTGGTGAATTTGCTTATTTTAATATGCAAGAGGTGACATCATTGTCCAAAGCAAGCACCACAAACAGTTCTGTCAGTTGGTGGGACACTGTCTATGGACCAATAGTGACAGCAATCTTATTGGCTTTTGGTGTGGTCCTGTTGTGTCTTATAATATTCTGTTGTTGCCGACATCATAGGAGGAAAAGGTGAGAAATTTCTTTTTAAAGCCACAACTGTTGTGTGAACTTATGCTTCTGCTACCCATAAAATTGCTCTTGTAGCAAATAATATTTTAGATTGTAAAAACCATTTGGGTAATACTCCTTCTTGATCATGTTAAATGGATGTAATTATTTAAAAAAAATTAACTAGCTATTTTAGATGTGCAGGGATATTTCTTTCTTTAATAACATTCGATAACTTACTTAAATTTTCTGCTGCTTATTTAAATTCTGTTAGAAGATAAATGTTTTTTTGTTTTTCAATTCAAATAATTTTTTTTTTTATGCCAGTGATTCTCAAGCTGGTAAAGGCCTAGCAAGAAATATAGAAATTTCAGCTAGGGCAAGATCCCCATTTATTCACTTTGTAATATTTAAAATAAAATTAAATAAAATTAAATAAAAAGACTAGCAATTTGATGCATGCTGTTTTGCAGAAAAACTACTCCCTTGATTCTTTAGCAGTAGTAGCCAATGCACGATGGGAACTCTTCATATGTCTTAATGTTTTTTTTTTATTAATGATTAAATATAGTGAGTAGTGCAAACATAGAATATCAACTCCGATAAAAGTTTTGGAAATTCCTTTTTTTTTGGTGTTACTTCAAATTACTTAGCTGACGGAAAAATGTTTCTAGTTGATGAATTTGTTTCAAATATTTTATTATTTCATTAAAACCAAATGATTTCTTTAGTTTTGAGTCACCATGATATGATTTAATGTAATTTCAGGTATTCAGAAAGTCATTCTTCTGAGGAAGTATTTACACCACCTGTAGATTATAGAACTAGCAGACAATTTAAAGGTACTTTTTTAAATACAATTTAAGTTAAGATATTTATTTAACTTTTCAATTTCAAATTTGCACTTTTATGTTGGGCTGTAAACTTTCTTTTCACGTTACAGAAATTACTCAACACCTTTTATTGTTTTCTTTATAGTTTATAGGAACGTGAAATATTTTGGTGCAAGAAGGAAGAGTTAAAAAAATGATGGAAGGATGAGGGAGTCAGGGGACATTTTTTTTAATTTTAAAGAAATTTTAGTAAAGTGATGGAAGTGGAATAAATATTTACTGTAATAACCTACATATAAAATGTCAGCGTGTGCATGATTAAACAACAGTAAACATGCTTGACCTACAAATAAGAGCATATGACCTTCTGGTTTTAATCTTATTATTATTAAGACACTGTATTTTTTTAATAAATGCAAACTAAATTGTTTTGTACATTTTAATTTTAAGCACTTTGAAAAATGGGAGGGTTGGAAAGGGCAGAGACTAGGTAAATTGATTTAGCTCTCTCTTTTTCAGTGTTTCTTTTCTGCCTCATAAATTTTATTGACAGCCAATAATTATTTAATGTTGATGATTGTATTGTTCACAGGATACCAAGTCGGTTGGTTGCATCCATCATTTCAATGGCCAACCCCCGTTCATGTCAGGCATGCCAAAGCCTAAGTAAGAGAAGCTTAGACAGTAGTAGCATTTCAGTTTGTTTGTTTTTTTCACAATTTTTTCATCATTTACATACATGCATGCTTTTAGCAATGAGAATGTATCAACATTATTTCCTGTTATATATTTTATCCACCTGTTATTCTGCCAGTGAAGATTTTAATAATGCAAAGAGCCAGGTGTATTTTAGTTTAAATTGAAAAGGATTTGACGTTTTACGCTTGTGTTTATTGGGTTTTGATTTTCAATGTAATTTTAGCTCTCTGCACTTTCAAACTAAGTACTATGTTGTTTAAAAAATATAATTATTTGCGCTTTTACTTTAACAAGGAATCTAAATGCCATTCTCCTCATGAAGGTTTTTTTTTTTTTTATAATACTCAGAGATCTGGAGAAATATTTACTTTTAGATTTACAATTGTTTAATGTTGAAATATTTACTGTTTATCTATTTACAGATGTCAGTTGTAAATAAATTAAAAGCCTGGTGATTGGAGGAACATCCCTTGCCTTATGAAATTTAATTAATACAATGGTAGTTTTAAAACAAAATTGATTGTTCCATAATTATAATAAGAATGTTTAAAAAAAAAAATTATCTGTAAAAACTCATATTTTGTATATTGCTGATACATTTTTTAAAAGCCAAGTTTATACATTATCTGTCATTATCCATTTTTACCAAATAAATTTATGATTATCCTAGAATGATTGTTAATTGAGATTGATAAATGCAGTGAATATTCAAGAATCCTTCACAACTTGTTTTGGATGACTGTTTTTTTAATAATAATTTTCATTATTTAAAAAAAAAATTAAGTAAACCTGAAATTTTGTTAAAACAAAATATGATAGCTTCAAAGAATTGTTTTAAAAATTAACTCAGGTTAAAAAAAAAAAAAGTAAGTGTTAAGGAGATAAAGCATTGAAGGGAATTACCAATTTATTATATCACCTTACAAATCAATAAAAATCTTTTACTAAACTATCTTCATTATTTTTTCTGTACATCTTTATGAAATGAATCAATTGACTTTGGTTTTCAAATAGAGAAACTGGAACACTTGATGCCACATTCTCATTTGTGTCAACATTCCAGGTATATGCATCAGCACTTTTCTTTGCTGTTTTATGTTTTTTAATCTACATAAAAGCCAAAAGATCACAAATTTTGTGGAATTTGTAAACTGATTTGAGTTGTAAAGTACAAAGAGTTGCCTGTTTTAACTCGTGTACAGAACACACCATTCTAATTTTATTTGTATTTGTGCTCATCTCGTGAGTTAGCTTGACAAAAAATTTTTAAAAAACTAAATATATTTTTTAAAATCGCCTTGATTTATAAGAAATAATTTGCTTATCTCATTAGTGATTGAAGTTTGTGTTTTGTGCACTCCGCAAAAGAAACAACTAAATATCACACAAATTTTTAATATGGCATGTTTTCTTCTTGCAGCTTAATTGGTCATTCAAACATATGGGTGTTTATCTCAGTCTAAAGATGCAAATAAATATTTTACGATAGCTAATATTTTAAAAAATTATAAATATAGATACTAGGTTAATTTATTGATACTGCTTCTTCTCCGCTTATTGAAAATACAAGTTTGATTTTCTTTCTTTCACTCAAATGTACAAAAATAATTTTTTAGTTCAAATGTAAGCAATCAGAGAACATTTTTTACAATAATCCAACTTAATATCAATTTGTGCATCTGCTGATGCCTTGGAATCGATTATTAAATTCATAGCATTGCAACATTTTATCAACAGTTATGCCATCTGTTTGTACTGTTTTATATTTGCAATATCATTGGAATGCTACGAAATAAAAATTTTCATATGTCAGTGTATATTTGTAAAGAATACAAATATTGTAAAAGTTGAAACTTCTTCAGATTGACCTCTTCATTTCATTACATATTGATTTTGTCACATCAAAAGTATAATCATGATCATCCTTAGTTGACTCGATATTTAAATCAGACTTCATTTGAATGACACTATTCACTAATGTTAACTCAAGTTTTTGCATTTTTGCTAAATATTTTGAATGAAAAACTAGTGGTCTGCTAACTTCCATATAAAATTTTAAAATCAATTTGTCCAGGGTAATTATTTTTCCAGCCAGAAGAGAATGGTGTTAAGTACTCTTCCTAGTGTAAGTTTTTTTGTCATTATTTATTTATTGTTTCAATTTAAATTTTTATTATGAGTTGCAAGTAATTTAAAAAATACTTTCGGTGTAGTAAACAAAGTGGATGAAAATGGGTTTGAAATTATATTTATTTGAGTAAATTTGACAGGATTTTAAGAGTATGGGTGTGAATAAGCCAACAATTTGGAAACAAATGGTGTCAGTAGTCTTCAGCTTACAGTACAGGGGAAAGAAATGGTGTCAGTAGTCTTCAGCTTACAGTACAGGGGAAACAAATGGTGTCAGTAGTCTTCAGCTTACAGTACAGGGGAAACAAATGGTGTCAGTAGTCTTCAGCTTACAGTACAGGGGAAACAAATGGTGTCGGTAGTCTTCAGCTTACAGTACAGGGGAAACAAATGGTGTCGGTAGTCTTCAGCTTACAGTACAGGGGAAACAAATGGTGTCGGTAGTCTTCAGCTTACAGTACAGGGGAAACAAATGGTGTCGGTAGTCTTCAGCTTACAGTACAGGGGAAACAAATGGTGTCGGTAGTCTTCAGCTTACAGTACAGGGGAAACAAATGGTGTCGGTAGTCTTCAGCTTACAGTACAGGGGAAACAAATGGTGTCGGTAGTCTTCAGCTTACAGTACAGGGGAAACAAATGGTGTCGGTAGTCTTCAGCTTACAGTACAGGGGAAACAAATGGTGTCGGTAGTCTTCAGCTTACAGTACAGGGGAAACAAATGGTGTCAGTAGTCTTCAGCTTACAGTACAGGTACAGGGGAAACAAATGGTGTCAGTAGTCTTCAGCTTACAGTACAGGTACAGGGGAAACAAATGGTGTCAGTAGTCTTCAGCTTACAGTACAGGTACAGGGGAAACAAATGGACAAGACAAATAAATAAGAAATCCACAATATTAAAAATGTTTATTTTATGATTATCTGTTGTTATGCTTTTTTTAAAGACTGCTCTGTCTCTACCCTATAACCATTGAGAATAACAATTTCAGAATGTATGTTAAGTTTTACAAATTAAGCATAAAATTACAATAATTTTAAAAAAGAAGGAACAATATTCATCATTCAGTAATATTTTTTTTAAGCAATAAATTTTACTTGTATAGGAAAGACAAATCTCTGTTATGTTTGTAACTTAAGGACAACACACAAATATTTTAGATTACATATCACATCTCAAAACTAAAAAAACTTTTATTGGTTTAAAGCCATTTTTGATTAAGTCATAATTAACACCTAAAAAGAAAGTTTCCTTATAAATCCTTTATAAAAACTTAACAACCAGCAATTGAGGGTGGGGCTGATAATTTGGCAAAACATGAATGCAAGTAACACACTTTATAAGGACCCACCAAGATCGCAACAGCACATTTTTTTTCACGCCCTGAACTACATTAATAATCTAATGGCCCACCCACTTTTTTTTACAGCAGATTTCTTTTACCAACTATTTCTGAAAAACAAATGAAAAAATGAAGCACCAAACGCATTTGCGATATTTTTTTTACAAGAATCTCATTAGCGCAGTTATCTGGAATTTTATTTTGTGAAATCAGTGGCATCGAATTCCCTTAATCTTCCTTTTAAAAAACAAAAACAAAAAAAAAACTGATTTTTGGGGGTTGGGGCTGAAAATTTGATAGAATGTGTTGTCATCTGCAATAAGTCTATGAGCCAAGTTTCAGCTCGATAGGTTGGCAGGAAGTATGTCAATTACCCATTTGAAGATTTTGCAAACCAGCCAGGAACAAAAGCAAAGACAATATAAAGGATTTTAAAAAGGCTATGTTGTCTTCAAATTTCCTCAAATCTGCAAAAGCATGTTAGAAAATTCTAATTCAAAGTATTACAAAGCACTTTGGTGTGTCTTACAAGGGTGTTCACATAAGCTGATTCTATGCAGCAATCATTTTGAGTAATTCCCTTAAAGCGTTTCTCATGGCTTTTTGTAAACATAATTTAACACTCAGTGGTCTATCAAACCAACTTCTTTCCATTACATTTTACTGGAGATGCTATGTTTTGCTGGTCGCTAATAATGTGTAATTAACTGTCATTAAATCCCGCCATCAATTTTTCTTCTTAAGTCTGCCATCAAGTTTTCTTCTTATGTCTGTCATCAAGCCAACGAAAGAAATTACATCTAAACTCTGGATTCCCTGGGGCCCCATCGGGTCGACAACACACATAAAATTGTTTGTTTTTATTTGGACCCTTTTTGTTGACAGTCTTCAGAACACATGGTTCCTTATGGCCAGGGCAGAGGGGAGGTGGGGCTGGACCTTTTAACAATGACTTCCACGCTTGGCTGTTGTTTTTTGAACTGTTGGTCTCAGAAGCTTCTGAGTTTTGTGAATTTTGACCTTCCAGTGCAGTTGAGCTTTCCTGACTGCTAGAACTGCCAGACAAGCTCTTCTGTGAACTGAAAGTTTCTGAGAATTGGGAAGTATCTAACAAATCAACACTGCCAGATATAGTGGTCAGTGCACTCTCATGTTGAGATGCTAATGTTACACCAGAATTACCAGCATAAGATGTCCTACTTGATGACTTTGTAAAAAATGAGGTCAAGCTGACCTGTCTGCCATCCATTTTATTGGAGTCAATTTTTATTTTTTTGCTGTTGCTTTTATCAGCTGCAGAAGCATCCCTTTTAATGGCAGTCTTGAGACCTGCTTGCTCAAAATCCCTTTTGACCTTATGGTCACACACTGAAGTTAGTGACTCTGACATTCCTGCACTTAAATTGCTTTCTTGACTGGATAGCAGCACATCGTCTGGAGAAGAATCTAATTCTGAAGTTTTTTTAACCTTCTTTTCAGCCTTTAAGAAAAAGGAAGACAACTTCTGCTGCTGACCTTTGAACTCTGGCATAAACTTTGAACAGTGCTGAGGGCAAGTTGGTGATGGAATGGATTCGCAGTTCAAGGTCAAAATGACAGGACAATGGTCAGAGCCCTCAACATCAGTCATGATTTTGCACTCTGTAGCAAACTGAGCCAGTTCGGTGTCCACCAGAATGTAGTCCAACCTTCGGCCGTAGTTGGTCTTCCTGTGGTCAGTTGTAGTACACCAGTTTGTGTAAGCGTTTTCTTGATTAGGGTTTAAAAATCTGAAAATGTCACTAAAGTGGCCTCCCTTCAGCCCTGGAAGTGAGGTTTCGTGCAGGTAGCCATCGGAGCGAGGCAAAGAAGAATCACGTTCTGACTTCTGTAACATCTCATTCATCCAGATTTTGCAAGGTAGGGTTGAACAATTTACCTGAAAAAATCAATGAAAAGAAACATAAATTATCATTCAGTTGAAGCTGTTTCTTCATTACTTCAATAATTTAGAGTTTTATTTGAAAACTTGTTCTATTTTTTTTTTACTGATGTAGTTGATGATATCAAAACATTTTTCATTGAGTCTTTAGCCGACCATAGACATTATGTCTTCCTCTATAATTTCTAATAAGCATTACTGATTAACGTAAGAAAAAAAATGAAGTATTAGCACAATTTTAATTCTTTAATGTCTGATTGTAATTTTTTTTTTAAGGGGTATGATTTTTAATTTCATAATCAAAAGCAATATTAATAAGACAATAACTTCAGTCATGAATGAAACCGTACTCACATCTGTCTCTGGTTCACAGTTGTCGATGTTTTTATGGGTCAGATTCAGGTCACCAAGTACAATCACATGACTTAATGCAGAAAGAAACAAAAACTTTTTCAATCATTGAGTAAACCACAAGAAATTACAACTGCTGGTTTTGTTTTGGCTCAAACAAAAAGTCTTAAATAAATAAAAATGTCAAAATTAAACTAAAAAATAAATGTTAAGTAAAATAATGATAATTTGGATTAGAGATTAAATGTGTTGTTATATAAAGAAACTTCATTTTCTACTTTGTTTAGAATAGCATTATTAGCTTACAGATTATTTTTGAGCAACTATTTCTAAATTTTGATAACAGGGTTTCTCATTCCCAGGGTTTTGCTTAACCCGGAAAAACGGGATGAAAGTAACTCTCATCCTGAGATTTCCTGGTATTAAGTAGAGACCGACTGAAAATAATTTTCTGATTTCAGCCATAATCGAAACAAGGCTGAAAGTTAAAAATGATGTTCGGCTGAAACCAAAAGTTTAATGAGACTCTTGGCCGAAACCAAAGCCGAAAGAATTTGATATTTTGAAATTTGTTCATGCATACTACTTCTTCTTCTTCTATATCTTAAGGGCCCACGATCAATTTATTGATCATTTTGGCTCCTATGCATGTAGATGGGATTTGCAATGCGCAAAATTCATACAATATAATTACAACACTACCTAGACATATTTGGTACAGATCGAAAGCTTAACCTATGCAACTATCCATGTTTTATTGGTATGGTTCACTTAAATGAACAGATATAAGTCTTGAAGGAAGCATTTGTGCCGCTAAACCATACTATTTCAAATATGCTGAAAGTCTCTAACAGAGCCAAATTTCACCTAAAAATCTGTCATTAAGGATATAAAAATACTGCTATGTTTTGCGGTTATTGTCATACGAAAGCTTTGTGTTTTCATATACAGCTGGCAAGATATCACTGTATTAATATTTAGCCTAGTACCAACACACTAGTCTTTCTGTGCTGTGACATAATAATTTCGTTTGGTGACCAACCTCCCCCACTCTCATTGAGGGGGGGGGGGGGGGGGGGGGAGGAGGAGATATAATTTTTAACCGGGTCTCTTAAAATAGTAGTATTGATGCGTCTCGGCGTAGAAAGGTAAAAAACCTAAAAATCTTACATTGGTCGCCAAAATCATAAAAGTAAACAGGTCTGCAATAGGCCTATTACATAATTATTATTATTATGAACCAGTTATACATGCAAACGTGTTATTTCGTCAATAACAAAGTTTATCAGCATGACAATGATGAATTTCAATGAATTAATGATTTGAATAAGCCTAAAGTTCCCTAATTTTCCTTTTTAAGCATAAAACAAACAAAAAATAATAGAAATATTAACATTCCCTGGATCATTTAATATTATTTGCCTACAACAACATTTTTGAGCATGATAATGATAAATCAAAATGAATTGAATAAACTTAGGTCCACCAAATTTTATTTTTGAAAAAATTAAAACAAAATTATTAAGATAAATATTACCATTCCAGTATTTGTTTTTCCACAAATCTAGTACGTTTGCTTAAGCCTAATTAATAATTATTTTTTGGAAATAAAGGACAAGTAGGTCATCACGTAGCTGTGAGCTGTTTTCGTTGATAAGTCATATTACATACGATGACAGCAAAGCGTTGAGTAATAATGAATATCGGATTGCCCGATTAAAGGCAGTCAGTCTGACTTCTGGTATACGACCAAAAGCATCAATCACTGTCGGCCGAAACCGAAATAAAACCGAAAGTTAACTTTTCATTTTTGGCCAAAATCGAAACTATGCCGAAAGTTATTTTTAAGTTCGTCTGAAACCGAAACTATGCCGAAAGTGATCAAATGTCAAATTTCGGCGCTGAAACCGAAGCCGAAATTCGGTCGGTCTCTAGTATTAAGCCTATATAAAATATAATATTTAACATGATTAAATGATGAAAGAGGGAGTTTTAATAATCTATTTTTATAGTCTTTTAACAAATGAAAAACGATGTTAAGGCTTGTTGAAAGTTTGGCCACTTGTGGTAGGGTCACTTTAATTGTGACTTTAAGACACTTGAGAACCTACTAACTAGAGATATTGAGCTTAATAATTTAGTGCAATTAACTAGATTTTACAGGTCCTGGCTTATAGTTTATAAAAACAATTGTAACAATCTGTGACTTGCTGAAATTTAAAAAAAAAAAATTTAAATTGTATTCTAAAAGTTTATACCAGCATTTCTCATGACCATGGGAATTCCTGGAAAGTCTTTCATTTACTAAAATTGGACCAGGATTCTGCTTGAGAAACCCTAGCTGATAAATTAAGCATTATAGAACTCTCCAAGCAAAATATTATTACAATTCATTTGATTGTTTGGGGTGCATCTTACATCTTGTTCTGCAGCAATGCTTCACATCTGCTCTGTAAAACAGAGAGAAATTTTAGTTTGTACAAGAGCCTGTCTTCTCTGTCACCAGCACGAGGAACATACACATTGATGATGGCCAGGTCTTTCACTTCACTCGTCGTCGGCAACCTGAAGCAGTGCAAAAACATGATATATACAGACTTAATTACATAATATGTTGGTGGTCCTTTTGAGGATACCTAACCCAGAGCAAAGATTCATATTAAGGTTACATAAATACCTTCATAATATTTGTGCAGTGAACATTGACCTATGACAATATTTGATACTTTAAGTTACTTAACACCTTCAGCACATTGTAACAATTTACCTTATTTTATGCAGGGTGATAATACAACGGCCTTCTGCATCCAGAGCTTCATGAACATCAGAAGAATAGCTGCTGGTGTCTCCATAGCACCCAACAGCTGTGTCACTCTCATTAGAAAGCCTACCAGTGAGACCTTCTTCTGCCTTGACCGGTGTTGTCCTTTTATTACAATAATTGGCGGTACCTGTGGAATTAATTTTTTTTATAGAACTCAATCCCTGAAGAGAAGACAATTTGGATTAAAAATTTAAGGAGCAATGATTTTTTTTAAAATGTTATTTAATTTCAAAACTTTTTAGTTATTTGTTTTAAATTCACCTATACATGCAAACCTTTACAGTTTACCAGTATTTTGTACAGTTTTTTTAAATTTTTTTTACATTTTCCAAGTTTTTTGCAACAGGAAAGGACTTTGAACGGCAGTACAGGACTTTGTACGGTTTTTCATGGGGTTTAAAGAAAATCTGTTTTGCTCAATACACAGTAAATTCATCATAAGTCACAGAATTGATATTTTTACAGTATTTTTCTTCTTCTGTGTCATAGGTCTAAGGAAGCTTAAATCCTATTGGTCCATTCAAAATGACCTTTGACCCAATGTTTGGATAGGTAAACAGAATTTTAGTATTATTAGCCAGGTTTAAGAAGTATCTACATTTTTATATACTGATAGTTTTTACTGGGAATTCTTACAGTAGTACAGGTAAATGTAATAGTAGCTGCTTTGAGGAGTAAACTATATTTAAAAATCCGTTTGTGTAATTTTTTGAAAGAACTGCTGTGTCAGTAAATGTTCTTTCAATTTCTATTAAATAATTAAATATATTTACTACCACTAACCATGAATACATTACTGACATTAGTCAATATGCCTATTTATAAGGCCTACTGAAGGCTTGTCTGAACTTAACGTGCTAACAGTTTCGAAAACTAAAAGGGAGGCGACTTTCTAATTTAAATAAGTGGACCTTTATTTTTTTTAGAGCAGACTTGTATATGAATTGTATATGGTATTACTTTTGTATTTATTATTTTCCTCCAGCTGAAAACTTCTAGTTAGATCTAAGTGGTTGTACCAGTTTTTATAAGTCCCAATACTCTAATTATATGCACAGGGAATATTGAATATTAACAACATCAGTTGTCTTCAATCCGTGGTTCACAAATTCATATTGATATCCACGACAAATAGTAAAAATAATAGCAAGATAATTGCTGACAAAACTAAATGCCAAAATACTACAACCGTACACTGAATAAATACTAGGTGACTAACAATGTGGATTCAGAAAAAAGTTTGGGGAGTTTATTAAAGGGTCTTCTTCTTCTTCTTTATTTTAAGGGCCCACGATCAATGAATTGATCATTCTGGCTCCTATGTTTCAGAGGGGTTTGCGATGTTACTGTGCATGGGTTTCAATGGGATACTTCACTGGTTGCAAGGGTGACTCAGCAGTGGTGTTTTGAACTGGGGGTTGGAATACAGGAGGCAATAGACACAAATGTGTCGAGTGTAGCCGCCTCAACTGTTGCTTTTGGAAGCTTGTTCCAGTCCCCTATTGTCTTCGGCAGGAATGAGGAGCTTCTGTACTTTGTTCTTGTTTGTAAGATATCATACACCTTGTTTACACATAAGTTAGATAACACTATATACAAAAAAAAACAAAACAACACAATCTTACGCCCCTTTAAATTAGTAGGCCTACACTTTTTAATTTAAAATTTTCAATAAATCGTAAAAATGTGACTAATACAATTAACAACTCCCACCGTTATCACCTGATAAGTGTGCGAATCAGGCAAACTCCAGGACTCCGATCCCCTCCCCACTTCCCCTCCACCCCCCCCCCACCTCCCCTCCCCTCATCCCCCCCCTCATCCCCCCCCCCCAAAAAAAAAAAAAAAAAAAAAAAAAACTAAAACAAAATTATGAAGCAAAAAATAAATAATAAATAATAAAAATATCTCAATGCCAAGGTAATCGCAGACGGCTATTTATAGTCAGCATACCGTGTTTTTACTTCCTGAAGGCGGGCTGCTTACAATACTTACATTACATGTATACACAACAAGGAAGTAAGTTTCAATAGATCAACATAACGTCAGTGTTGGTACCCCAAGGTTCGGTATCTACGTTGTTTCGTAAGATATTTTCCTGAGGAAGTTCAAGATAGATAATTATTGGTGGAGGTATAGATAGGTAATTATAGGTGGGGGATTAATAGCTAATTATTGGTGGGGGTATGGATAGGTAATTATTGGTGGAGGTATGGTAATGTAATTATAGGTAGACGTATAGCTTGGTAATTATTGGTGGAGGTATAAATAGGTAATTACTGGTATAGGTATGGATAGGTAATTATTGGTACAGGTATGGATAAGTAATTATTGGTGGAGGTATAGGTTGGTAATTACTGGAGGAGGTGCTGATAGGTAATTACTGGTGGAGGTGTGGATAGACAATTATTGGTGGAGGTATGGATAGGTAATTATTGGTAAAGGTATGGATAAGTAATTATTGGGAGAGGTATAGATTGGTAATTATTGGTGGAGGTATAGATAGGTAATTACTGGTGGAGGTGCAGATAAGTAATTACTGGTGGAGGTATGGATAGACAATTATTGGTGGAGGTATGGATAGGTAATTATTGGTGGAGGTATAGATTGGTAATTACTGGTGGAGGTGCAGATAGGTAATTACAGGTGGAGGTATGGATAGACAATTATTGCTGGAGTTATGGATAGATAATTATTGGTGAAGGTATGGATAGGTAATTATTGGTGGGAGTATAGATTGGTAATTATTGGTGGAGGTATAGATAGGTAATTATTGGTGCAGGTATTGATATGTAATTATTGGTAGAGGTATGGATAGGTAATTATTGGTAGACGTATAGCTTGGTAATTATTGGTGGAGGAATAGATATGTAATTACTGGTGGAGGTATGGATAGGTAATTATTGGTAGAGGTATGGATAGGTAATTATTGGTACAGGTATGGATAAGTAATTATTGGTGGAGGTATAGAGTGTAACTATTGGTGGAGGTATGGATAGGGGATTACTGGTGGAGGTGCAGATAGGTAATTACTGGTGGAGGTGTGGATAGGTAATTATAGGTGCAGATTTAGATATGTAATTATTGGTAGAGGTATGGATAGGTAATTAATGGTGGAGCTATGGATAGCTAATATTGGTGGATTATAGATAGGTAACAGTATGGACTGGTAATTATTGTAGTAGCTTTAGATTATTTTATTGTTAAAGGTGAATATTTAATAGGTGGAGTTGTAAAGTGGTTCCCTATTGGTTAAGATGTGTATTGTATTGGTTGGGGTATATACATTTATTGGCGGAAGTATTGATAGGTAACCATTGGAGTAAAAAAAAAGACATACTCTAGTCACATGACCCTGCATAACGCTTGTGAAATCTTTAGTGTGACATGCGTTCACGTGAATCAGATGGCGGACTGACAATTTTGTACGCTGGACAGAATGGTACAGGCAGTGGGCAGACAACACGACAGCCAGAGGTGTACGCGCTGACATGCCGTCGCCTAGCAGACAAGACCCTTGGTGGTGGTAGGGCTCGGGCAGCGGAGTCTAGTGACACGCTGCGCACTTGGCACTGTCCCATCGGCACAAATTTTAATTTTAACAGCCTAGCGGCAAAATCATAACAGGGACTCTACCTGTCGGCATTGCAGCCTGGTCCCAGAAAATCTAACGCATCTGTCGACCTAATGCCCGTCACTAGATGTTTCATGGGAGGCCAGGGCGGTGGGAGAGCCAACCGTGAGGAAAATGTTATAGGGCACAGCTCGGCACACGGAGTTGATTGCCAATGTACTAGCCTGGGTCATAAGAGAGTGATCTCAGACCTTCACCGGAATATGTGAGTTAGTGTGCTGGACAGAATGAATAGACCTTTGACTCTGCTTGCGAGGTTCAGACAGCTCCAGATGTTTACAGGAGATAAACGTTCGAGAACTACTGGAGAAAGTGGATTGGTCGCGTCTTTTGAGGAAAGACCTGTCAAAAAGAGGGTCGGGTTCTTTGGGAAACGTTCGGTTCTTTCTTAAACATCCACTACTCCTCAAAATTTGAGAATATATTTGTTATCCGTTTTGGTGAAAATATCTACTCCCAACTTTGTGAATATATCTACACACAACTTTGCGAGTATATCTATACGCCCAACTTTGTGAATACATATCTACTCACAACTTTGTCAATATATCTACTCCCAACTTTGTGAATATATCTGCTCACAACTTTGTGAAAATATCTACTCACAACTTTGTGAATATATCTACTTACAACTTTGTAAATATATCATCTCAAATAAAAGTGAACTTCTTATTTAAAATTTATTCTCTAGGCATATAATTTGTGGGAAATGACATTAGTCATTAACACACACACAAAAGTAACTGACCGGTTACACTATAAAAGATATAAATTAACTGACCAGCTACAGTGTAAAGAGACACGGACTTATAAAATAAATTAGTCTTTACAAAGACTACGTGAAGAGTAAATCTTCTTACCTAGATCTTGCATCATGAAACATTCCCAGCTCGTTTGGGGCCCTGCTTCCACCCACTGAAATCTACTTGCCTGGTCAGAACAGCGTTGGAGATCTATTGAAAGGGTTTCTGATCACGTGACCGTATTCTTATATTCAGTAGACTTAGGTCGCCGTACTATGCGGGCCTGTGTTGGATTTTAACTTCCTTATTTCAGAGAGCGGGGTAAATGAAGAAAAAAAAAATCAATAGATTTCTAAACATTTCCAACGACACTCTTGGGGCTATAGAACGTTTCATGTGCATACACATTGCAATATGTTGATCAATGGAAAGTTGGAGAAACGAGTTGTAGAGAAGAAAAAAAGAGATTTTTTTAAAGGGGGGTGGGGGTGGGGAGAAGAGAGGGGGTTGGGTTGGATAAATTGACCTGCGCATTCCACTGTTAAGCTCAATCTTATGTTGACACACCACGTGACATTTTTTTAACGTTAATAATAACCTTATGGAGCAGCTTTAGGCCCAGGCTCTAAGGCTGATTAAACTTAACGCTCTAAGAAACTTATAAGCGCTGCGAGCGATCAATGTCAATGTTAATATTACTACGTGGAAATTAATTCACGACAAGGGCGACTCCGGCAATTGGGCGGCTCTAGGAACTGTACAGGGGCGTTGCATT